TATATTTTCTATTTTTGGTATAAATCTCGAAACCGCCATAGCTCTATAGATGTCGAAACCGCCGGAATATTTTTTACCTTCTGTATAAATCTCGAAACCGCTGTAGTTCTATAGATGTCGGAACCACTTTAGTTCACCTGCATAGTTATCGAAACCAGCGTTATATTTTCTTCTTTCGGCATAAATCTCCGTAGCTCTGCAGATGTCGAAACCAACGTTATATTTTCTTCTTTTAGCATAAATCTCAAAACCGCAATAGCTCTATAGATGTCGAAACCGCCGGAATATTTGTTACCTTCTGTATAAATCTCGAAACCGCTGTAGTTCTCCTGTGTAGTTGTCGAATCAGCGTTATGTTTTCTACTTTTGACCTAATTCTCTAAACCGCCATAGCTCTATAGATCTCGAAACCAACGTTATATTTTCTACCTTTTGACCTAAATCTCAAAAACCATCTTAATTTTTCCCTTCGCCTCCCCCCCCCTTCTCCCTCAGACTTTCAACTGGCTGACGATCCTCCTGTTCGTCGCCTTCATCCTCGTCTCCATCGGCATCATCGGCGCCATGTACGACGGGTGGTGGTGGGCGCCCCTGCTGGAGGCCGCCCGCTGCGCAGCCTACGTCGCCTACGCCCGCAGCACGCCCGTCACGGACTACCCTCTCGTGGACGCCGCCCTTCTGGTCTACTTCGCTGCCTCGACGCTCATGTGGACGTCTCGGAGCCTCGCGGTCGTCAGGGCAGGGATCAAGACTGCGAAGCTGGAGTAGATGGCGGAGGGAGGAGGAGGAGGAGGGGAGGGGGGGGGGGATTTTAGGACGATGTTTATTTTCGGAGGTGGTTGGACTGTTTTCTTTTTCTTTTTATCTTTCTTTCTTTCTCTCTCTCTCTGTCTCTTTCTTTCTCTTACTCTCTCTCTCTGTCTCTTTCTTTCTCTTTCTCTCTCTCTCTGTCTCTTTCTTTCTCTTTCTCTCTCTCTCATGTTTCCTTTCTTTTCTTTTATCTTTCTCTTTCTCTCTCATTCTCTTCCGATCTCTCCCTTTCCTTCCCCCCCCACCCTCTCTCTCTCTCTCTCTCTCTCTCTCTCTCTCTCTCTCTCTCTCTCTCTCTCTCTCTCTCTCCCTCCCTCCCTCCCTCCCCTTCCCCTTCCCCTCCCCCTCCCTCTCTCTCTCTCTCTCTTTCTCTCTTCACGTCACCCCCCCAAAGCAAGGTGACTTTATTATCAAACAAAAAGTTCGTCTTCTTATCGTCTAAGTCTTATCTGTGTTGACTAGTTGTTAGTCTTATCAGTCGAGTGATTGAAGAAGAAAAAACGCGATAACAAGAAAATTAATCGAACTGACCGTGATATCGTTACTACGGAGAAATTAAAGTGACCTTTATGTATTATTAAGAAAATAAAATCCTTTTCTATTTTTTTTTCTTGGGGGGGTGGGAGGATTTCGTTTTTTTTCAATTTTATTTTTATTTTACTTCATGGCTTATATTTTCTGTGCATTTAAATTTTGTAATATTTTTTTAACCATTTTTTTTATCATTGTTTGTTATTACATCAGTTTTATTTTCATTAAGTATTCATTATCTTTTTTACTACACCATTGTTTTTTTACGGATATCAATTTTCTGATATCTACCTGTTATATTTTTTCTATATTATATTAAGTAGTATATTACTGGACAAGATATATGTTATTTTCGTTTCTGGGCTGTTTATTGTTGCACGAAATTTTTATTTTAGTAGATATATTAACCTGATTGTTTATTTGTTTCTGTATGTGTGTTTGTGTGTGTTTTTGTGTTTGTGTATTTGTGTGTTTCTGTTTATGTATGTCTGTGTGCGTGTGTGTGCTGTGTTTATATATATGTGTGTGTATCTTTGTATTTGTGTGTGTGTGTGTTTGTGTTTATGTATGTGTGTGTGTATCTGTGTGTGTGTGTGTATGTGTGTGTGTGTGTGTGTTTGTGTGTGTGTGTGTGTGTTTGTGTGTGTGTGAGTGTGTGTGTATGTGTGTATGTGTGGGTTTGTGTTTATGTATGTGTATGTGTATCTGTGTATTTGTGTACTTATACATGTGTGTGTGTGTTATCTGTGTCTGTGAATGTGTACGTGTAGGTGTATGAGCATATGTATGTATCTTCGTGTTTGTATGCACATGTGTCTGTTTTCTAAGCAGGGTAGGGTAAGGTTTTCAAATAAATCATCCTTAAAATGCAAATTTTATTCTAGAAATTTTAATCCTTACATTCACGTGACCATGTTTTATTTAAAAAAAAAATGAAGGATGAAACAGACGAAGAAGGGGATAAAGAAGAAACAGTAGGAAGACAAAGACGATAAAAAGGAAATAGAAGACGAAGTAATAAAAGGAAGAGTCAGAAACGAAGAAAGGAGAAGGGAGACAGACATAAAAATAAAAACATTAAGGGAAAAGGATAAGAAGCAAGAGAACAGAAAAAAAACGAGAAAAAATAATAAAAACATAAAACATACAAAAATAAAACAAACAAACAAAAACAAGTAAAGAGAAATAATAATAATAATAAAAAATACTGTATATATTCAAGAAAGAAGAAACAGAAACGAAAGAGAGGAAGAAGGAACGAAGAGAGAGAGAGAGAAAAAAAAAAGAAAGAAAGAGAGAAAGAAAGAAAGAAAGAAAAAGAGAAAAAAAGAAAAAAAAGAAAAAAAAAGAAAGAAAACACAGCAAACAACCCACCCTTCCCCTCTCCACCTCCCCCAACAAAACCCCCAATCCACCTCATCCACTTCATCCACCTCATCCACCCGCTCACTGCTCCACGCTCTCCATTTTCCACACGCGGATATAATCCACCTGCAACGCCGCTCGCTCGCTTATCCGCTTCTCCCCCGCGCGCCAGGTAGGCAGCCACGACTCGCGCTGGGATTGGGGTTAGGGAGCAGATCAGGGATTGGGGATTGGGTAAATGATTAAGAAATAGATAAGTGATTAGGGATTAGGTAAATGATTAGGAATTAGACAAGTGATTAGGGATTGGGTAGGTGATTAAGCATTAGGTAAATGATTAGGGATTCGGTAAGTGATTAGGGATTCGGTAAATGGATGAGAATTGGATAAGTTATTAAGAAATAGATAAGTGATTAGGGATTAGGTAAATGGATGAGAATTGGATAAGTTATTAGGGATTGGGTAAGTGATTTGGGATTGAGTAAGTGATTAGGGACTAGGTAAGGGATTAAGCATTAGGTAAAATATTAAGGATTAGATAAATGATTAGGAAATAGATAAGTGATTTGTGATTAGGTAAAGGATTAGGGATTGGGTAAGTTATCAGAAATTAGATAAGTGATTAAGCATTAGGTAAATGATTAGGGATTCGGTAAATGGATGACAATTGTTTAAGTTATTAGGGATTGGGTAAGTGATTAGTTATTGGGTAAGGGATTAGGGATTAGGTGAGTGATTAGAGATTGGGTAAATGATTAAGAAATAGATAAGTGATTAGGAATTATATTAGGGAATAATAATAATAATTAAGGATTAGAAATTAGGGAGATAAAGGATTAGAGATGAGAGACGAGAAGGATAATTAGGGATTAGGGAGATAAAAGATTAGGGATTAGCGATTAGGAGAAAAAATAGGGATAAGAAGAATACGAGGATTATCAAAGGGATTAAAATACTAATGATTGGAAGATTAGGGATTTAGGGACGAGTGGATGGCGAAAGAAAGATGATTAAGGGATTTAGGGATTAATTGTACTGATTAGGGATCGAAGGATTGGGGGATTAGCGATTGGTTTTGATCTTGAGGTTTGAGGAGATTGTGATGGGATGAATATCTGATTAGTGATGAGAGATAATGATGATTATAAAAAAGAAAGATTATTGTTATTATTATTGTTATTATTATTACTATTATTAGCATTATTATTACTATTAGTATTGCTATTACTATTACTGTTATTATTATTATTATTATCATTATTACTATTATTATTATTATCATTATTATTATTATTATTATTATTATTATTACTATTATCATTATTATTATTATTATTATTATTATCATTATTATTATTATTTATTATTATTATTACTATTATTATTATTATTTATTATTATTATTATATTATTATTCTTACTATTATAAGCATTATTATTACTATTATTAGCATTATTATTACTATTATTAGCATTATTATTACTATTATTAGCATTATTATTACTATTATTATTATTATTTATTATTATTATTATTATTATTATTTATTATTATTATTATTATCATTATTATTATTATTATATTATTATTATTATTATCATTATTACTATTATTAGCATTATTATTACTATTATTAGCATTATTATTACTATTATTAGCATTATTATTACTATTATTAGCATTATTATTACTATTATTAGCATTATTATTACTATTATTAGCATTATTATTACTATTATTAGCATTATTATTACTATTATTAGCATTATTATTACTATTATTAGCATTATTATTACTATTATTAGCATTATTATTACTATTATTAGCATTATTATTACTATTATTAGCATTATTATTACTATTATTAGCATTATTATTACTATTATTAGCATTATTATTACTATTATTAGCATTATTATTACTATTATTAGCATTATTATTACTATTATTAGCATTATTATTACTATTATTAGCATTATTATTACTATTATTAGCATTATTATTACTATTATTAGCATTATTATTACTATTATTAGCATTATTATTACTATTATTAGCATTATTATTACTATTATTAGCATTATTATTACTATTATTAGCATTATTATTACTATTATTAGCATTATTATTACTATTACTATTATTATTATTATTATTTATTATTATTATTACTATTATTAGCATTATTATTACTATTACTATTACTATTACTATTACTATTATTATTATTATTTATTATTATTATTACTATTATTAGCATTATAGAGATATTATCATTATTATCATTATTACTATTATTAGCATTATTATTACTATTAGTATTACTATTTCTATTACTGTTACTATTATTACCATTATTATTAATATGATTATCATTGTTATTAGTATTATCATTATTATTAATATTATTATTATTGTTATTATTATTATTATTATTATTATTATTATCATTATTATTATTATTACTATTACTATTATTATTTTTCTATTATTATCATTACTATTACTATTACTAGTAATAGTAATAATATTACTATAATAATAATAATATTACTATTATTATTATTATTATTATTATTATGGTAAAAATATATTTTTTAATGTCGTAGATAGAGATATAAAAAGAAGCGAAAGAGAGAGTAATTATTATTAAAAAATAAGCAAATATATAAATAAATGGCAAAGAAAGTTTAAAAATCACACTCAACTAAAACAAAAACGAAGAAATAAAATTTTAAAAGGTAAAAAAAAAGAAAAAAATATAAAAAAGGAAAAAAAGAAAAAGAAAAAAGTTAAAATAGTAAAAAAAGAAAAAGAAAAAGAAAATGGAAAGAGAGAAAGAAAGAGAGAGAGAGAGAGAGAGAGAGAGAGAGAGAGAGAGAGAGAGAGAGAGAGAGAGAGAGAGAGAGAGAGAGAGAGAGAGAGAGAAAGAGAAAGAGAAAGAGAAAGAAAGAAAAAAATAACAATAACAATTTACCTCCTTCCAGAAATCCAAAAACGCGGTTCCGGACCAGTTCTTCCACGGTTTCGGAGGATGGATCGTGACGTCATCGGGGAAGAAGCCGTTGACTCCGCCCACCGCGAGGTTGACGATGAAGTAGAACTGTTGGCGGAACGAGAGAGGAGCGAAGGGGCTTTATGACGCGCTGTTGATAGACGGAAGGTAAAGAGGGAAGGAGGGAGGGAAGGAAGGGAGGAAGGAAAGTGGGAAGAGAGGAGGAGGGAAGGAGGGAAGGTGGGAAGGGAAGGAGGAGGGAAGGAGGGAAGGAGGGGAGGAGGGAAGGAGGGAAGGAAGAGGGAATTATGATACGCTGTTGATAGACGGAAGGTAAAGACGGAAGGAGGGAGGAGGGAAGGGGGGGAAGGACGGAAGGTAAGGAGAGAAGGAAGGGAGGATGAGAAAAAAGGGAGGAAAGGGAGGAAGGGGGAAGCGCTGTTGATAGACGGAAGATAGGGAAGGTGGGGAGGGAGGGAAGGTAAGGAGGCAAGGAGGGAGGGGGGGGGGGTAATGATGCGGTGTTGATAAAGGTAAGGAAGGAAGGAAGGGGGGGAGGAGGGAAGGAAGAAAGAGAGGGAGGAGGGAAGAAAGAGAGGGAGGAAGGAAGGAAGGAAGAGAGGGAGGAGGGAAGGTGGAAAGGACGGAAGGTAAGAAAGGAAGGAAGAGAGGGAGGAGAGAAGAAAGAGAGGGAGGAAGAAAGGAGGGGAGGAAGGATGGAAGTTGGAAAGGACGGAGGGAGGAAAAGGGGGAAAGAGAGAAGGGAAGGGTGAAGGTGGGGAAGGAGGAGGGAAGGTAGACAGGACGGAAGAAAGGAAGGAAGAGAGGGAGGAGGGAAGAAAGAGAGGGAGGAAGGAAGGAAGAGAGGGAAGAAGAAAGGCGGAAAGGACGGAGGGAGGGAAAGGGAGAACGTGGGAAGGGAAGGGTGAAAGTGGGGAAGGAGGAGGGAAGATAGACAGGACGGAAGGTAAGGAAGGAAGGAGGGAAGGGGGCTTATGCTGCGCTGTTGAGAGACTGGAGATAAAGAGGGAAGGAAGGGAGGAAGATAGGGAGAGAGGAAAGGTAAGGAGCGAGGGAAGGAAGTAAGTTAGGGAGGTAGGTAAGGATGGTAGGGATGGAAAGTAGAAAGACAGGGGAATAAGGGAAGGAAGGAAGAAGTGAAAGAAGGGAGGGAAGGAATGGAGAAAGGAAATATAGGAAGAGAGAGACGGAAGGTAAGGAAGAAGGAAAGGTAGGTCTCACTCTCACTCTCACTCTCACTCTCACTCTCACTCTCACTCTCACTCTCACTCTCACTCTCACTCTCACTCTCACTCTCACTCTCACTCTCACTCTCACTCTCACTCTCACTCTCACTCTCACTCTCACTCTCACTCTCACTCTCACTCTCACTCTCACTCTCACTCTCACTCTCACTCTCACTCTCACTCTCACTCTCACTCTCACTCTCACTCTCACTCTCACTCTCACTCTCACTCTCACTCTCACTCTCACTCTCACTCTCACTCTCACTCTCACTCTCACTCTCACTCTCACTCTCACTCTCACTCTCACTCTCACTCTCACTCTCACTCTCACTCTCACTCTCACTCTCACTCTCACTCTCACTCTCACTCTCACTCTCACTCTCACTCTCACTCTCACTCTCACTCTCACTCTCACTCTCACTCTCACTCTCACTCTCACTCTCACTCTCACTCTCACTCTCACTCTCACTCTCACTCTCACTCTCACTCTCACTCTCACTCTCACTCTCACTCTCACTCTCACTCTCACTCTCACTCTCACTCTCACTCTC